GAGCAATTGAATAAAAGCAAAAAGGGACATATTCTGATTCACTAAGGGGGACGGGGCTGTCAAAGATGTTGACATAAACCTCGGGGCTAAGACTCGGGAGTGAGAACAGGTTGCACTGTACATTAAAATCCATATATTCAAATATTTGGTAGTGGGCTGGAAGATTGCACCTGCTGGCAGAGTTCTTAAAAATAGAGAATACTGTCTCCTAACCCTCTTAAGACGTCTGCATCACCAACAACCTCAATCCTGGCTCCAAACCCTAACCTTGAACCTTTTCTAGGAAAATGTAAATAGTTTTTAAAATGTTTCAGTTATATATTATGATAACACAGGGTTAGCGTAATCACAGATGACAACTTCCCTTACATTATATATGCCTTACAGGGATATATAATGGACAAGCACAGTATTTTATTTGGTGCATTCATACATTTTTTCACATTTTCCTGACGGGGCTAGGCCGCCGTCTGACCTGCACTGTGTACAGACGCACGCTCTCTTAGTACCTACGAAGGTTTCTCTGAGACAGCGATACTCTTATGAGCGAAGGCTCAGAGTGCTGGTGGTATTTGAACCCACCACACACATCTTAGTTTTTTGCAGTAATGAGCAAAAACACATATACATATATGCTATATGTGGAAATCTTAGATAGTAAAGAAATGGTGGCGACCCTACGATACCAGTCTGTGCGACACACAGACCACAGGAAAGGAGGAGGATCAAAAAAACAAGACCAACAAAGTAAAAACTAACTGCTAGGGCAGGATTTGGCTGTGTAACCTACTGAGAGAGGGAGTATATTGATCAGCTGCTTTCCCGCTGCTTTCTGCCTCATTATCAGATGACTTTATTTGGTCAAGCTGCACATGAAGATCAGAGCTGTACAACATGCCCTGCAGCCTGTGCCATGTAGACGGTGTACCAAGGAGGATTAACACTTAGTTACTTGTATTGATGCTGTCCTCTTCTTTTTTTTTCTTCTTTTTTTTTTACATCAATCATTCTCTTTACCAGGATGGAGGTATGTGTTTACTGCCGCTTTTTAGTTAGCAAGGTCATGCAAAAGCCCCCTGACACAAAAAGAACAAAGGAAAAATCTCTCCCAGCACGCACACTAAATAGTTTGCATTCAAAATGACGGACTACCGAGTGTAGTGTGCATGGCTTTATTACACCTTGAACGTTTTTGTGAAATCTCTCTCTGCTTGTCTTCTCCTAGAGTCAACTACTCAGCATCATGAACAAGATGAAGAACTTTAAGAGACGTTTCTCTTTGTCGGTTCCTCGGACTGAGACGATTGAAGAAAACGAGTTCACTGAGCAGATCAACCAGCTCAACATACGGCACACTCAGGGTAAGAACACCTTTCCCCCTCAAATCACCAGCATTGTCTGAGATTACTACAATTATCTGTTCAATTTAGAAATTTCACAGATTATGAAAACCATTGCTGTTGCCAGGCAAACAGCAAATAACAGCAAATAACTCTTCAAAACTCACTATGATGGCCGATTTGTCGTATCATCCACTGGTAACCCACATAGTGTCATATGATGTGGAATTGAGCACCCAAAGGACGAGTTGTGGGACAGAGTTCATAAAGAAAAAGACAAACATTTATTCACGTGTACCAGAGAAGTCCAAGTGGCAACTGATAAGCAAAGTCCGTAAGTCCAAACCAAGAGAGGAAGGACTGATAATCAGAGAACTGAGGGGAGACCGAGGGTATAAATATACAGTAGGCCATCAGGGAGACAAAACACAGATGCAAATAACCAATAATTAAGAAAAAGACAAGGGAAGTAAACTTAAATATACAAACATAATTCAATTTAGTTGCTTCACTAAACAACTTTCTATGCATTGTTTTGATTTAACAGCCAATTCAAAGATGTCCACTCTCGTCAACAACCTTTGGCACCAAAGCAACAAATAAAATCCACACGTTAGCAACTAGGTGCTGAATGCAGTGGAGCATTTAGCATCTGCAGCTAGAGAGAAGACCAGAGCAGAGTTGGTGGCATTGATCACTTTACTGTTAGAACAGGCAGCTGGTGGAACATTTAGGAGCTTGAAAAGCCAGATGTTTCTGCCGTTCTAGATTTAAAGAAAAAATAGTGCAGATCTGACTTAAGGTTGTAAGGTGAGCACGAGCTTTAAATGGAAGACGTTGTTCTTTAACTGTTGACTGTGTGATTTCTCAGAGTATGCAGAGGCCGAACGAGCCATTTTAAAAACAATAAAGCACTGGGTAATTAAAAGCATTCAAATCCATTCACATTCCCAACCCATGAGCTCTTCTACCTCTTTGCATCTTTGGTCTCCATGTGAGAATGAATGGCTTGTGTCTAATAATAGAGCACAAACTGCAACACCGCTCTGGGTTTTAATACAAAAGCCTTCCTTCCTTCCGTGTCTGTAGCAGACCCTCACAGATTAACTGGGGGGTTTCCGGCTATGACTGGTACCACCACCAAGTCGGAGCCAGAGGATCAGCAGGCTTCAAAAGGGAATAAGGGTTATAGTGGGATAAATTGGGGTAGATAATACCAGGGAGCTGAATGCACTCACAAGTAGATCCTTGAGTGCCTGTGCTTGATTATGTAAACCACGTCTGATACTGAGAGATGAAATAACACTGCAGAGTCTATAAAATGCATCTGATTTAAACTTTCATCACAATTTCCAACCATTTGTTCCCGGGTTCAATTCAATTCAATTTTATTTGCACAGCACCTACTGCTATGGTGCTACTTTGACTTTCAGTCTTTCATAAGATACGTTAGCCGTTCGTGTGTACTACCACATAAGTAATCAAAATGAGGCATCTAAAGTGCTTGCCTCCTATGAAAATATTACATTTGAATGAGGATGTTATTCAGCTGTCTAACGGAGTAGCAGCTGGCTATGTAGTCTTACCCCCCCCAGAGTCCATCAGTCTGCGTTACTGTCTGCTACTGAAGGTCAGGAGAGAGGTAAGCAGACAAACCCAGCTACCTCCTGATATTTACAGTGCACTCGTAGCTCTTACTGATCATTTCTCTTTTTTGTTTTGCTCTGTTCCATCTGGATTGTATCGTGTCCCATAGTGTAGCAGACTTGAATAAAAAACATCTCGGATATAAGCATCACATGGAAAAATCATGTGATGCCTTAACATTTTATTGTTGCTGTATGCCAACGTCAAAATTTGTGTGGTGATGGAAAAAGTTTGGTCGGCATCAGCAAACACGGTTTTTGGTTTTTTTAAATTCAACCCAGAATTGTTTCTCGTGCAGCAAAATAAGTAGACTACCATACTACGTCAAAGGTTTGGACACACCTTCACATTTTTCTTCTGTTTCTTCTTCATTTTCATTACTATTTACATTGTAGATTCTCACTGAAGTGAAACTATGAATGAAAAGATACAGAATTATGTAGTAAACAAAGTGTGAAATAACTACCGTATTTCCCGGACTACAAAGCGCACCTGAATATTAGCCGCACAAGCTAAAATCAGGG